ACCTGGAAAGCAAGATTCCATCTCATTTCGGACTCCAAAAAATATGGCCTTAACGATTTCGGACTCAGAAATAAGTTGAAAGGAAAGGTTGAATACAACTGTCAAATCAATTTATAGTAAGTCAAAAACGATTTTATAAAAATAACATGCGGGTAAAATTTAACGCTCAGAATCAAATACAGCACGTGGAGTCATGGATCACGCACAGTATAGACCTCTTATTAAGAAACGGCAAAATTTCCAATTTTGAATGTTTATGAAAAGAATGTTTTAGTTATTTGTGTCTGTAATATGTATATAAAAAAGCAGTTGATGAATTTATTCGAAATAGGCCAATTCAAAAAACAAAAGAAAATATTAGCACGAAACACTTGGTTATTAAAAGGCTCCACCAAATTGTAAAACATTAGACATTAGTTGCACAGGTAGCTTTTCTTCATACATGTCGCTTCAGTAACTAACCTGTAACTCTAAATTATCAAAGACCAGTCACATCACACAAATCCATACATGTAGGTACACAGACACTCTCTACGTACAATGTTCCATATAAATGTCGTAATATGAAACCTATGGGAATGCCTAAAAATTCTCGAAAGTCCACGAATCTGCTTTGCCTCGGCGACACCCAGATTCGTGCAATTCTATAATTCGTATCCACGTAAATTTATCCAAGTATCATGGTGCCAAACTTCCGTGCTAAATTGAATACTTCGCCGTTGACGTGTAGAATTCAGATTCTTAAATATCCGTAATAAATCTAATATCAAAACATGACTTGACACCTGTGGCTGTGCATGGCTGCATATTTACATGTACCGCGTGCGGAGCACAGGTAACGCCCCCTGGAATTTCTTTCTCACATCCATGTCTATCTTTACGCTACAAATTATATTTATATATATGGAACTTTTTCCCCGACCTAATTATTTGATTTTGTCAAATTTTCTAGTAAATTATTCATACTATAGCCTTTATTTATGGACATTGTTTTAAAATGATTAAATACACCAGACAACGAGCTGTTTGCATTTCCATTCCAGATATTTACTGTGGGGTTGTTATGGTAGAATAAGTAGTTCACATGACTTGGGGTGCGTTTTAATTTATTTAGACATAATAATTCATAATGCTATAAACTAGTGTTAAACAGGCGAAAACAAGCGTGGATGGTGTGAAATTTATTGTTATAAAATTGGCTACTTCCGACAGTGCGCAATGGACACAATGCAAATGGCGGCTTTTCGTGGTATTTCCGAGCTTAATTCTTGCATTTAGAAATGAATAATTAAATGTACGTGGCGTAGACGTGAGTATTGTGGTCTCAAGTCAGTTTACTGAACATAAAATAGTTTTTCTTGCTACCTGTCAGACGTAAAATTCGCCTGTCGCCGACAAGATAGGCGAACATTTCGAGCTGTGACTGATTTTTCAATCGAGAACCCCATTGCGGTTTCATGCCAGATCGCGTGACCTTGTAAAGGAAAATGTGTTTTCCATATAATATTTTGAGAAAAAGGCGAATATTTATCTTTCTTTCTCGAGTAATTTGGAATAAAAACGGTTGAAAGTTTTAAAATTTTCCACAAGCCAGTGCTTTTTAAATTTTTACTGGCCAAATCAAAAATCTACTGGCCACGGGCATTCGGGCCAGTGCTAATTTCGCACACTGAATGTTCCCAGGTCTTACGGAGTTCGGCCTTAAAACACCGGTTAACACTGATATCTAATGGTTGCAAGAGTTTTGTCATCCCTCCAGGAATTATTCCAAGAATTGTTTTCGTCGCTTTCACTTTTGCCTTTGTATCATCACTGATATGCGCACGCATCGAGTCCATGACTAGCATGCTTGTTTTGGTACGAAAAAGGCCACCGGCACGGCGAGAAAAGCATTTTTCTAACCATCTCCCTATCATTTTATTGTCCATGCACCCTTTGGGATTTACTTCAATGACCAAGGAGCTGGGAAACTTCTCTTTTGGCATGGTTTTTCTTTTAAATATTATCATTGGCGGCAATTTGCCGCCATCGGCAGAACAGGCTAATACTATGGTAAAACTTGACTTTTCGTGGCCAGCCGTCCGGATAGTGATTGTGTCCTTTCCCTTGGCATCTATAGTGCGGTTCATAGGGATATCAAATGTCAGAGGAACCTCATCCATGTTTATAATGTTTGAGTCACTCAAACCAATTTCTCTTATCTTTGTCTGGACAAAGTTCCGGAAACTGGCCAGCTTTTCTTCGAAATTTCTGTGGCATGGTTGTTCTTTGACGTATGCTTAGACCCTTTCTTCTCATAAATCTGAAGCACCAGGAAGGATTACCGTTGAAATTTTCAACGCCGAGATCAGTGGCAATCTGTCTAGCTTTTAGCCGTAACTGCACGGTGTTTAAACCCCTACACGGGGCACGTTGTGTCAAGACATATTCTTCTAATTTGTCTTCTATGTCACCCTATCTAGCTTTGCAGCCTCTGTTAGCTTTCTTTGTCTTTTTTGTCTTTCTCAACACCTCCTTCGTTTTTCTCCAGTCTCTTACACACTTTTCACTCACTCCATACATTCTATGCGCTGCCATGTTTCCACCATTCTCTTCGGCGTAGTTTACCACTTATAGCTTAAAAGCTGCTGTATAGGATTTGCGTGTCTTTACGGAAGGCATTTTGAAATATGACTGACAAGTATTTAAAACATCTTATTTACATACGTTGGGATTTATTTTGAAAAGTACACACATGCTTTTAATTTGATTACTTTGAACCAATACAATTTTGCCGACTTCGATTCATGTGTTTTAATCGCACGTGATCTGGTAAACTGTATATCCACGTTTGGGGGGGGGGGGGGGGTATGTAGGGGACAGGAATTGGTACCTAAGTGGGTGGCAGTAAACAAATCCAGGATGTTTGAGAAGCAGATCTAGCTACCTGATTTTTCTTTGATGACATAATGACATATGCTCCTAAAAAACATACACGCCATAATCCAGTGGTTAGGTTCGTTTGTTTAATCCTTATTTAAATACGCTAGTTTCCTCCAATAAACCATCTGATTCCACAGCTAAGCTAGTAACTTGAGTAGCCTACTAGTAGAATTAAAAACTATCAGATACAGGCTGGATCACCGGTATTATATTTTTTTTATTTATTAATCGGGAATCACTGAAATAAGTGTTGACAAAGAAGAGGGCAAAAATAAAATTAATTGTGAAATAAATTTGTTGGATTTAATACCCCGTTTCCGTTCTTTCACTAGTTAACTGTCTCTCAAACTAACGCGATAACTCGCGTGACTTGGTTTAACATGCGTACTACATGGCATTATGATTTTTCACTAGGATATTAGCGAGTATATGTTGACATATTGACGGCTATAAAATGCTAAAAAAGAGTCGAAGCAATTTTTCGAGCTTCATCCACATATACATCGAGGCAATTTTTCGACCTTCATCCATATATATGTCGAAGCAGAGTATAAGAAAAGCTCCCGATCATCATGAAAAAAAGTATCGACTCATACCCTGTAAAATACGGTACTTGTTCATCTCAAGACCTTAAACTCTGTGTATCTGAAGTTAATCGGATGGTAACATAAGCCTCTAAAGTGTCACAAGATTTTTTGAAGTGATCAAGGGTCATAACTTGGGCGGAAATCGCTGAAATCAATAGAATTCTTCGTCTCATGACCTCAAACACTGCGTATAAATTTTAAGTCAATCGGATATTAACTTTAGCTTCTAGAGCGTCCACAAGATATTTTGAAGTGATCAAGGGCCATAATTCTGGCAGTAATTATTGGAAATCGCTGAAAGTCAATAGGTTCCTTCGTCTAATGAGCTTAAACACTGTGTATAACACTGGCAGTAATTATCGAAAATCGCTGAAAATCAATAGGCTTCTTTGTGTCATGACCTTAAACACTGTGTATAAATTTAAAGTCAATCAGATATTAACTTTAGCCTCTAGATCGTCCACAATTCAGGAATGAAGTTAGTATTTTTACTGATCAAACGTTGGATAAAACGATGTTTTTTTTATATTGTATTCTATTAATTATTATATCAACTTATCTGAGTATCAAATGCATCAATTTCACTTAGTCAAAATTGATCCCATCAAACCGTCTGTAATTGGTTTGTGTTACCTATTTCTATTGATTGGTAGTTTCACATTTTCATGTAGACATATTGTCCTTCCACAATTTGAAATACAGGTCTATCTCCCAGAGAGAGAGAGAGAGAGAGAGAGGAATGGGGTATAACACCCACTCGACACAAACTAGGTCATTTCGAGACTAACATATGGTTCAATTTTATTTCAACAATTCACTTGTGCATAGGGGTCTTTAGCAGTGGGAGGAAACCGGAGCACCCAGAGAAAATCTATGAGGTTGAACTGGCAACAAGACTCCTTGTCACGTACAACCGGGGAATCGAAACCAGGCCAGTTGACTCAATGACAGACCTTATGATACAGCGCGCATGCGCTGACAACTCGGCCATTCACCCCCACCCCACCTCTCAAAGATCTTGTTTCCTTTTGATATTGACATGTATCGGACCATAACTTCATAGCTTGTTATGCATGTTTATAACCCAACAAGATGAAACTTAAATTATATCGCTTTTGATTTTTGCATATCAACAAATGTGGCCGTATCTTGCCTGGCAACCGCTCGTTATTTACTTTATACTAATTTATAGGTACAATTTTTAGATCTATCATTGTACAATATGATTTCTTCTATAGACATATATATATATGAATTAAAGGTGTTTTGGGTTTCATTTGTTGATTCAAAACTAAAATCTATCAGCTGTTGTACAACACATGTAAAAGATAGTCTTCCAAACAAAATTTTATAATTTGTGGCAGACAATATCTGTGTTCGGCTGCTTTTATTTCACTAATCTTTTGAAAACATTTTTTTACCAAATTCTGCTGAATTGTACATTTCATGATGAAAAGTAACTGAAACAATGAAATTATGTTTTTAACTTACTTGACAATACCAAATCCTAAACTAACAATTATCACTAGCATCCTTGCTAATGTTCTTTTGAATGAAGAAACTATTTCTCCTAAAATAACAGCTCCATCAACTGAAGATCCTGTTTTGGATATATTCTCATATTCACCAAAAAATACAGCTGCTTCTAGCATACCTAAACATAGGAAATATATAATACAGTCGGTTTCATTTAATAGAACAAAAATTTCACGATCATTCTTTATCAATCGAAGTAGATCTCAAGATGCTCGTTATTTGGAAATGATCATTGTAGGAGTCATAATTATGAGGAGAAGAATTCAGTGGTAAGCCAAAATCCACGCTGATTAATTTGTAAACAAAGGCGAATAATTTCATGAACGTGAGTTCAAGCAATAATCATAAAAGACAGTTTTTAGAAAAGAGAGCTAACCCCAATGCTTCACACTAAATTTGTAAAAAAAAAGATAGGTTGCCAGGCAATGAAACATATGCCCACAGCAGCTAAATCGTTCGGGCATTCAAAAAAAGAGTTATTACATATTTTTACTTTCGCCGTGTTGAGTTCAACTTTCTATGGGAAAATTTTCTCTGCATGGGGGCACCCTAACAATGTATGACACAACCCTACAAATTTCACAGGAAAGTTGTTTTGTTCGTGATGCATCATGTACATGCAAGGCCTCAGTTATGGGTAGGTGTAATCATGTCTGTGCCCTTTTGTTTGCCCTCGAAGATTTTATTGAAACAAAAGGAACAGATTCAAATGCATGTACCTCAGTACTGTGTGAGTGGAATAAAGGACGTAAAAAACAAAAAGATCCAAAGCGCATCACTAATGCAAGTCATGGTAATCAAAAGAAAAAACGGGTTGATGATATCATTTCACATGATCCCACACCAAAATATACCGGGACCCAAATATACCAGAGGATCCCAAGACACAGTAAATGACTTTGTACATCGCATGGAATCAGGGTCTTCAATTTCATTAAAGTCTATGTCCATGTGGCTCAATTTGCTAGTAAGGCAATATGAGGACTACCAGGTAAGCAGTGACCTTAAGGACAATTTAGTGAACAGGACAAAAGTACTACTGCATGAAATCTCAATAGCAGCCATCGGCGATGACGTCATTGAAATGCGATATGCGCATCACATGATACTCAACTCTGGCAGGGTCGTACAAACATTGGCACCAAGCATTGTAAACAATGGCCGAGTCTAAGAAAATACTCGTAATAAAATTATCTGAAAATGATGTTCCAGGGGCTAAATTTAGATGTAATGAAATCAAATAACATTCAGTTTGCGAATTAAAGCGTTGGCTGCAATGTAGAGGACTTCCCGTAACTGGAAATAAGTCGGAACTTGTTCGAAGGTTTGTGTACTTTGTTATCGTATTGTCAATGTCAGCATGGCCGATCTATTAGGCCTAGTACTATTACTACTATTATTTTTGCAAAACTTATCATTTACTTATCATTTATTTATTCATAGAAACATGTGAAACTATATTTGCACAAGCTATAATTTCCTTTCCAAGCTTTAACAAGTAATCAAATCAAAGTAAAGAAAACACAGAGTAAATCATTCAATCAGGCAAGTTTCAGTTTGCGACAAACTATGGAATTATAAATAGGAATAGGACGCTTGGTATTTCATTCGATATTTTACTTGATTTATACATATTTTGTTGCTTTTAGTTTTAAATAGTAAATATTATTTCAACTTGTGCTCAGTCTAGCAGAAAACACTAATTTTTAATTTATTTAACTTCAGATGTCTGTGCTGTATAGAAGCAAGCGAAGATGGAGAAATTGTAGTGTCTATTGATGGTGGAAGCTGGTACCAGAGAAAAGTTACTAAAGTTCTACAAGCTTCATGTGCTGATCAGTTGTCTGAAGTTCCACTTTTGCCAACTACAGGGTGGAGTAAATTTCCGTCAAAAAAGGTGCCAAGTGCTTTTTCCTATGGTATGAGTCATGACCACATCATAGCCACTGCTGTAGTGCATGAACCAGATGGTGATCAAACGTTAACTGACTTTGGCACATCAAAACCTATGCATAAAGGTCGACAATATTTTGCTAACGGACATGTCAAGGACATTGAAGACCAACAAAAGCATGGATGCTATTTTTTAAAATGCAAGGTATTAGCTTCATACGAGACCGATAAAAACTATAATGTAACTTTAACCTTAGACTCAAATTCGGCTAAAGATTTAGATGCCTCATGCTAATGTCGTGCGTCAGCCATGAGCAGGTGTAACCATGTGGCTGGTATCTTGTTTGCACTAGAAGATTATACGATTCGCTTCGGATATCAACCAACAAGTGCAACAAGTGAGTTGTGTAAATGGAATGTGGGACGGAAAGCGAAGCGTGATCCTAAACCATGCCATGAAGCTGCATACAACAAAAAGCTGAAATCCGACAGGATTATATCACATGACCCTCGTCCCCAACATATGATTGCAGATGATGAAACTTTCGTTAACAACTTTGTGGCAACAGTCCCAAATGCAGGCAGTAATTCCATGTTTGTGCAGATCATGGAGATCAAATACAATGACTATGTGGTGGACACTGACCATCTTCGTAAACTTTCCCAGTTAACAATAAATAGTTTAAAAGAGAGCATTCAAGGAAACCAGCCTGTAGAAATAGGCAATACGAAGGGGCAGACAACCTCGGACAGCTGGTATGAAACACGCTCACTTCGAGTTACTGCTTTAAATGCAAAAACTGTCACGACAACTAAGTCCAAGCAAGGACAGTATAATTTATTGAAGCGACTTCTTTGGAGTAAAAAAGTGCTGGACCTCAAAGCGCTAAAATATTAACGGGACAATGAGGACCACGCATTTAAAAAATTCCAAGAGGGAAGTTTAAAACCTGGACATACTCTGACCAAGAGTGGTTTTTGAGTAAACCCAAAATATCCAGATTTAGGTTGCAGCCGCGATGGCTTAATCTGGGATTGTAATAAAAAATTAGTGGGTGTGCTGGAAATAAAGTGTCCCCTTGTGCTAGAAAATAGTGGACCCACTGATTTAGAAAACTTATCAAAAAAACAAATAAACAATCTGTGTTATAAAATAGAAAATGGGGAATTAGTTCTGAAACAAACACATTCATACTATTTTCAAATTCAAATGCAGATTGCAATTTGTGAAGTTGACTTTTGTGATTTTAACATTTGGTCTCAAAAGGGAATGTGTATCGAGAGGATACAAAGAGATATTGGATTTTGGAATGCACTTTTTCCAAAACTGATAGATTTTCACCACAATATATTATTGCTAGAGTATTTGGAGCAGAGAATCCCTCGCCGACTGTTACCAGTCAATTTAAGCCAATCAGCCCAGTGATAAATAAAAACATAAAACTATTCATTTGATTGTACTGTATTTTCGCGACTGGAGAACTTCTTTAAAAAGGAATCCTCTGTCTGCTATTACTAAATCACCCAGGTTTAAATATTCTACCAATCCAGACTTTATGAAAATTTCTTTGTACGATATGCTCCCTTATAAACGTCCGACAAGAAGGAAATGCCTCCTGTCAAAGCAATTCCAGCAAGACATTTCAATGTGGAGTGGTGTTTATATGACGAGTACAAATTCCCATGTTCTGCAAAGTTCCTTGATGACTGAACAAAATTCTCGAAGCAGTCTATTATCACTCTAACATTCTTAAAAGATTTAAAAGATGCTGGAAGGTGTTCTCTGATTAATTCTCTGGATGGAAACATTCTCTGTCTGATACAGGCGGTCTGTTTATATAAAAAATGAATCCATGTGTTGATAATTTCAGACACACAGCTTATACTCAAATCAAATCTGTACGCTAAGTCTTCATTAGGGAAGGCATGTCTAAGTTTCATCAGGGTTAAGAGCAGTTGATTTTTTGGAGTTATTTTTCGGGTGATTGGTTTTCTAATTTTTATACTAATTGAACGTGTTTTTTTTCCTTTCCAGTATATATACTGAGCGCCATGGAAAACGCATCACTTTTTTTCCCAAATATTTTATTACTAGGTGGTTTTGTATGTATAATATTATGCAATACTATGAACTATTGTTTCACACAATGCTCCCAAACACAAAAAATATCGGCCCGTGTGCACAAGAAAAAATTGCACGAGATGCACATGAAAAACCCAATATTCACGTGCAGCATTGTGTGTGAGCCCTTTAAAAGCATGTTTTCAACTTAATGTGCAGTACATGAACTGTGAAACGTCAATCTGTCGTAATTTGTCGTTGGACGTGTGAAGGAATCGAGCTAGAGATGCCGAGACTTACTGAAAATCAACGGAATGAAGCCATGGGAATGTCCCGGGCTGGCATGTCTACACGTGCTATTGCCAGACACTTCAATTGTCATCAGTCCACTATTGTAAGGTTGGTGGAACGTGTTCGAGTTACTGGATCAACACATGACCGTCAACGCGTTACAACCCAGGCTCAAGAGCGCTACATCCGGGTCACTCATCTGCGTGACAGATTCCGCCCAGCGACGCGAACAGGTTCAGCAGTCGTCGGAAGACAAGGACCAGTAAGTGCCAACACGGTAAGACATCGTCTAAGAGAAGTAGGACTCCGTGTACGACGACCTTATGTTGGAGCTATCCTCAGGGATCATCACCATCAGCGGCGTTTGATATGGGCTCAAGGACACCAGACATGGAGAAGAGTAGACTGGCAAAGTGTGCTCTTCAGTGATGAGAGTCGCTTTCATCTTTATCACGCTGATGGCCGTCAACGTGTGTTGAGACGTCTTAAGGAACGTCTTGCAGACTGCTACGTCTTCAAAACGAATCGATTGGATGGGGGAAGTGTAATGGTGTGGGGAGGCTTCACATTTCATCACCGGACCGCCCTACACATTTGCAGGGGTCGCGTTAATGCTGTAGCCTACCGTGATGATGTCTTGCAACTTCAGCACTTACAACAGGATAATGCACGTCCGCATACCGCCCGTTTTAGTATGGACTACCTGGCTGCTAACAACATCAATGTCTTGGACTGGCCAGCCATGTCACCAGACATGGCACCGATAGAACATGTCTGGGATGAGATTGGACACCGTCTGTATCGGAGACCACAGATGCACACCATTGCTGCTTTAGAAGCTGCTCTTGTCCAAGAATGGAACAATTTGCCCC